TCCTCGGCAAAACAAACAATCTGGTCAAAGTTGTACTTGATCGACCTAACAGCAATACACTACAGTCATTCCCAATTGGTCCTTTGACGTTCAATGGAACTTTATGAACGTGAGTACCCCACAAAGTGGCGTCTGTTACTGTGGAGACATCCACTCCAGCACTCCCTCTGGTTCTTGCTGAGAGGGTGTCCACGGTGGTAACTGTAGCAGTGGGGCTGCAGCACAGAATCCTGCTCCACCGTGGTACTCCATGGGCTGCAGGGGGACAGCCTGCTTCACCATGGTCCTCACCACAGGCCTCAGGGGACTTCTGCTCCGGCACTTGGAGCAACTCTCCCCCTCCTTCTTCACTGACCTTGGCACCTGCAAGGCTGTTTCCCACTCCTCTCACTCTCCCAGCTGCTGTGAAGCGCAGCGTTTTTGTTGTTGTTGTTTCTCTCTTTCTTAAATCTGCTCTCACAGAGGTGCAAACAACATCGCTTATTGGCTCGGCTCTCGGTCAGCACCAGGGCCCTTACCTAATATGGGGCAGTTTCTAGATTCTTCTCACAGAAGACACCCCTGTGGCCCCCTGCTACCAAAAGCTTGCCATGTAAACCCACTACATTCCACCCCTCGCCTTTCTGAAAAGCATATTTAGAATAATCACAATATACTCTTTACAATTATCACAATCTTCACAAACTTCACTTCCATCAAAAAGAAAAGGAATTCGCCACACCAAAATAAACATAACATCATCACAACACTGATGAGGTGGACAATTTACACACACACTGTAATAAATGACTGAGGCCCAAATAGGATTGCAATCAAAGTTTACAATTTATTAAACTAATAGAGGCAGGCAAACAGTGCTGGGTGCACTGGGAGTCTCTGCTCCACCAAGATGCACACCAGTTACATTAGATGGCAGGTTTTTCTGCTCCTAGGCTAATACATATTCATTACTACTTCTAGAAAAAGCGGGGTTATTATAATTAGTTCTCGGAGTCCGGACTCTCCCATTGGGGTATGCGTATCCGTCTCAGGTGGGCGCTCTGGGGGTCCCTCATGTTGAAGGCTCGTAGCCTTCCTCCCAGGCTTTGTCCTTGTACTGGGTCTGTCTGGAATGTTAACTTTCCCGGCAGCAGCCCATACAGTGCCGTACTCTGTACTTGTAGCTGGAACAGCAGTGTTATCACACCAGTGTTGTGTCTACTGCTGAGCAGCAGTGGCACAGCATTGGGCCTTTCTCTAACCCTCCTAGGGGGTGGGCAAAAAGTGAGGAGAGAAACATCACCAGGGCAGCTGACCTAAACCAATCAAAGGGATATTCCATACCATGTGATGTCACACTCAGCAATAAAAGGTGAAAACAGGAAGAAGAGGGGAGGGGTGGGCTCTCGTTGAGAAGACGTCGGTCCTCCCCTCGAACACCGGCTGCGTGCATTGAGGCCTTGCTTCAAGGATGTGGTCAATCATCGCTCATTTGTGGGAAGTAGAGAGTAATTTCTTTCCTCTGCACTTCCATATAGCCTTCATTTATTTTGTTTGTTTGTTTTCCTCCCTTCTTTTTATTTTTCCTTTTCCCCTCCCTTTTCCCCTTTCCCTTTTTATTTCCTCTTAGTTAAATTGTTTAGTTCATGGTAGTCTTTATTTAATTATTATAATTATTTCCCTTTAATTAAATTATCCTTATCTCAACCCGTGAGTTGTTCTTTGCTTTACTTCTTCCCCTCCTCATCTAAAGGAGGGGGAGTGAGAGAGCGGTTGTGGGGTTTAGCTGCCCAGCACAGTAAAATCACCACAGTCCTTCAGTTGTTCTTCATTTTCCCTTCTCTCTTTGTTTAGTAGTCTCTGGGCCAGATATCAGAGATTTAAGTGGCCTCTTGTAAAATGGTCTGTAGTTATCTAAAAGAAGAAAAACTCCCTCCTATTCCCTAATCTCCCAGACCCAGACTTGAGCTTCAAAGCTAACCCTTCAGGTTATCTCAAACCCCTCCTTATTTTCTTTTCTCCCAGACTTGGGCCTCAATGTTAACCCTTCAAAGCCCCTATTGACACAAACTGCTAGTCCATTCTTTTGCAAGCTACAAGAACTATATACACTAACCACTGTTTCTCTCAGACTTCTGGTTATACAAGGGTATGTAAGACAGAAGGTCACATTCCATCATGTGGCCCTAGCATTGTTCCATATTGACATGGATCAGATGAACATATTTCACACACACCACCCCTCATCCCTTCACCACACTAATATGAAACATATTCCTCACAATTGCTGCTTTCTTAAATTCTTCACAACTAATACATTCTTAAAAAAAAAAAATCCAGTCCATGTTTTGCCCGTTACTTCTCTCGACTGTCATCCTTATCTCAATGAAGAAACCAATCTTCTGACAGTATCGGAGAATAAATGGCACAGAAACTATAGTAATGCTGAGTCGAACTGGAGCAAACAATTTGTGAATAGCATATGCCAACAGAAATGTGCCTGTACCAGCAGCCCTTTTAGTTTGTAGCGATGATTCACTGAAACCAAGTTTGCAGAGAACTGCAGTCATATCCACACCACTTGACACAGCCAGGTAGGAGGTTCCTAGAGATACTGATGAAATTCCAACATGGAATGAAACCCCTACAGCACCACATTCTTTGAAAACTTTTTTTCAGCTGCTGGGATTTATTGAGTTTCTTGTTTTCACTGCTGAGATCTGTGGCTGCCTTTTCAGGGGATCCACCCACATCCTTGGCCAAGCTGCCGGCGGCGGCCCCCAGCGCCAGCAGAGGGGCCGGCGGGCTGAGGGGGGGCCGGCGCGAGGGTGTGGGGTAGTGGGGGAGAAAACAACGGCAGCAGCAGCGGCTCGCGGGGACCTGCAGGGTGGCAGGCCCGGGCACAGGAGCAGGCAAACATGATGCAGCAGCCCGATGCGTGCAGACGGGCGCTCAAACCGGAGAAATGCAGCAGCCGGCAGCGGGGCAGGCTGGCGGGTGCCCGGAGCTGACAGCGGGGCGGGCAGCAGGGCTGGTGGCGCTTTGCACCAGGCGTTCTGTCAGTCCCAGGCGGTACTGCTAGAGCTTAAGCCGCCGCCATCACTTCCTGCTGCTCGGCTTTCATACCGTACAGCGCATTAATCACTGTCTGCCACGTCCCAGTTACTTCTTTATCCAGCTTTCCACTTGAGATGACTTTATCCCATAAACGATCTCCTACCTCCCGCCACTCTTCTGGGCTCACAGCGCTACTCGTCCCCTGTCTTCACCGACTCCTCCATTCTCCCGTAGAAGTTTTGAGGTCTGGCTCAATCACCAACGTCCTAGGTCCTGCTGTGTTCGGGCACCATTTGTTGCAGGAAGAATGGCCGAAGTCATGACAGAGACCAATATGGTCAGATCATACTCTATTTATTACCCGAATAGCCTGACTTTTATAGCAATCTAGCAGGGACGGATAGCGTCTCACACAAGATTATTGGTCAAAAGCACTCAGACAAACAACTGCAAGAAATCAACCCCCTTGTGATTAGCAGTCACATAGATTGAAGTCAGCTGCTGGCAACAATATTTTTAGCTCCTGTCGTGGTTTAACCCGGCCGGCAGCTAAACACCATGCAGCCGTTCGCTCACCCTCCCCCCTCCCTCTCTGGGACGGGGGAGAGAAATGGAAAGTGAAGCCGGTGAGTTGAGATAAAGACAGTTTAATAAGACAGGAAAATAATAATAACAAAAATAATAATAACAATAATAATAATAATGATACAATAGTGATAATACGAAAGTAATAATAGTATGTACAAACAAGTGATGCACAATGCAAATGCTCACCACTCGCTGACCGATGCCCAGCCTAACCCCGAGCAGTCCGGCCCCCTCCCCCCGGCTAGCCACCCCTATATATTGTTTAGCATGACGTCAGATGGTATGGAATACCCCTTTGGCTAGTTTGGGTCACCTGTCCTGGGTCTGTCCCCTCCCAGCTCTTACTGCACCCCCAGCCTGCCCGTTGGCAGGACAGAGCAAAAGGCTGAAATGTCCTTGGCTTAGTATAAGCACTGCTCTGCAACAATTAAAGCATTGGGGTGTTATCAGCACTCTTCTCATCCTAAGCCAAAACACAGCATTCCACCAGCTACTAGGAAGAAAATTAATTCTGTTCTAACTGAAACCAGGACAGCTCCTCAATTGGGCAATAAGGGAACATCATCGTGGGAACTTCTCGTAGTCGTCCTGGTAGCTTGGTTTGCTCAGCTGCAGCAAGTCATGGCCTCCTTGCTGTTTCAAAAATCCCTCTACAAATTTTCCTCCTAGTAGCTGCTAGGGTGCTACATTTTTGGATTTAGGATGAGAATAATGTTGATGAACACTGATGTTTTAATTGTTACAGAGCAGTGCTTACACTAAGCCAAGGAGTTTTCAGCTTCTTGCTCTGTTCTGCCAGGGGGCAGGCTAGGGGTGCAGCAAGAGTTGGGAGGGGACAGACCCAGGACAGGTGACCCAAACTAGCCAAAGGGGTATTCCATACCATCTGACATCATGCTAAACAATATATAGGGGTGGCTAGCCGGGGGAGGGGGGCCAACTGCTTGGGGATAAGCTGGGCATCAGTCAGCGGGTGGTGAGCAATTGTATTGCGCATCACTTGTTTCATACACATTATTAATAGTAGTACTATTATCATTATTATTTTATTTTACTGTCTTAATAAACTATATCTCAACTCACAGGCTTCATTTTCTCATTTCTCTCCCCCATCCCAGAGACGGAGTGGGGAGAGTGAGGGAACGGCTGTGTGGTGCTTAGCTGCCGGCTGGGTTAAACCACAACAACAACTGTGAGGGCAGTCAAACGCTGGAATAGAGGCATTTGAATAACACTCTCAATAATACACTTTAACTTATGGTTAGCCCTGAAGATGTCAGGCAATTGGATTTGATGGTCTTTGTAGGTCCCTTCCAAATGAACTATTGTATTATGAGCTATATTGACTTGCGGAAAACGGACTCCACAATCAGTAAGATTGTAAAGTAGGTATGTTTATTCAGCGCTGGGCAGCACGGGGGGGTAGTCCCGCCAAAGTCGTGTGCACCTGATGCAGCAACTTGCCTTGGTTTTATGCAGTAAAGTTACATATGCATGAAGTTTCACAATGCACCTATACATATTCATAACCTGTCCCCGCTTCATATTAAAATTAGTTCCAAGGAGTCATTTCCATAATCTTCTCCCATCTGTGCTTGCGCAGTGTCTTCTGGTGGTGGTCATCAGAGGTCGTGGGGATGAAGATTGATGACTCTTCTGTAATATACAGTAAATGTTTGTTCATTGTCTTTTGTATTATAAGGACAAGGAGTCCTGCTTGAAGAAGTGGGGATAGTAAAGGTCTCCTGCTGAGATAAGAAACTGAAATGCCTGGCTAGACATCATGAAATTCCTTTACTTAAAGTAACGAGAGAGGGCCTTTAAACCGGCAAGGGGGAGGGAGTTTCCTCCCCTTCCCCCCCCTTGCATCTTACTTCCATCTTTTGTTTAAAGTCACTGTTGCAAAGCTCCTGTAACCATTTCCTGATAAGCTGTTGGACCAGCATGATAACGTTCTGCCTTCCTGCTTCGTGCTGGGTTAACATGACCTAATGAGGAAAGGAAGTCGAGCCACAACACAGAGGAAGACTACGGCCTTCATCTTCACGACCACCAGAGAGACTGGGATGACCCCCTAGCAACAGTGTGTGCAGTCGCAGAACATACCAGGATGTGCTGCGTAATCCCAGAATTACCCAGATATAAAAAGGGACCCTGGCGGGGGTGAGGTGCGTGCCGTTGGCGGAGCGGAGACTCCCCGGCCGCCCAGCGCTGTTTTTCTTGCTGTTTGCTTACTCAATAAATTCTTTTATATGATTAATACAATGCCCTCTGAAAATTAATTAAGGGGGCAACTTATAACACTTGTCACCGCTAGTTGACCTCTTGTCTTTGCGCAGACTCAGTTGCTCCTTGGCTCTTGTCCATCTGCAGGACCAGTTTCTTAAGATAGGCTCACACTCTTATTAGGAGACTGACCTTGGTAAGGGGCCCAAGGCTTCTTGCTTTAGTTAATTTGTACAATGCACCATAGTTAGCAAAGACACTAAGTAGCATACTAATTTTATGCTGTCAGTGCTCTATTGCTACTAGAAAAGATTCTCCTAACTCCCTCTCTCAATATCTTGTACCAGAATTATAAATATTTTATTGTAAGTTTTTCTTACATTTTTTTTCAAAGTTTTTCTTCTTATTGTAAGTAATTCTTACTTAACACTAAAAAAATTAAATTCCAGTTTTTGGACAGAAAGGTGTAGAGAGGACTTGAGGGGGGCATCCTTGGCTAATCAGTTATCTTTTCTAATTCTGAAACTCTTGGAATATGAGGAAAATCACATTCGGTTGAAAGAAGAGGTTGTCGATGCCCACAGCTTTTGAACTATCAACATGTATCATTGAGATATAATATATTGAGCCACAGGTGAATATTGGAAAACAACATAATTTCCTGTCACCATAGGTGAGCTATATGAATGACTAATACTGTAATGTACCTTTGTTGATTGTACAACAGCTGCCTTTGTGTTTTTTGAAGTATGAAGTATTTTACACTTCATAGCACCAAAAAAGTAAAAAGTATTTTGTTCTTTAGAAGTTATGCTTCTATAATGTGTTCCATTTGCGTTTCATCTTATATGTGACAGTCTTTCACAAATAATTGAGAAACTTCCATATAAATTGCATTAACTTCCTTAGGGCAGTTATTGCTTTCTTTACTCATCCGTGCAAAATCAATTCTCTTACATGTGTAGGATTTTGCTTGACTCGTTGATAGAACACTACTATCACAATAACTGCCAACATCAGCATCAGTAATGATATATGTAGAACCATTAAAATACATGTTAATGCTCTGAGACAGTCTTTAATAAACCCTAGATATTGTGTCTCATACTTAGCTTATTATTATTACACAGGAAAAAAATCATATTTGAATACCAAAAAGTTGAAAGAAATTTCTGTTAGAGTTAAATTGGCCTTCTAGTTAAACTACAGACTAATCTGTCTCAAACCTATCTTTTTGCATTTAAATAACTTTTTTAGAAAGCATGTAAAGAAATTCATGATTCACTGTTTTTAAGTGTTGCATCAGTGTAGACTTATTGTTTGATATCAAGTATACAGAATTTCAAGTTTTAATAATAGCTCTGAACCAAAAATTCAGTGCTTTAAACAGTTTTTCCCATTTACTTGCATCTTGGTTCCTTGGTCTTCAAACTGCAGCATCAGTATTTCTGATGAAGTATTTGAAAAGTCTTTCAACAGTTCCCTGAAACTCTCATGCAGTATGTCCCGAGTACAAAGCCAGATTTGCTCTTCCTTCAGTTCTAGTGTTATCACTTTGAAGCCCCCCCCCGATAATCTTCACAATTTCTTAAACCACATCAGCATCACAGCTTATCATCGCACAGAGAAATTTATAAGATGCTTGATGAGTTTGGTTGAACGTTTCCAAGAAGCTCTTTTAATGCATCGACCAAAGGAATGAGGATTTTGTGACTGCGTTTCAAAACTTTACCCTATGTACAGCCCTTGTTGAACCCTTACGTAAGACACCTGAGAAACTATACGCTTGGTCACGCACCTCTTCCCTTCAGGTACCATCCGCACGGTACTGAGTAACCCTAAGAGACGGTTACCAAATGGGAGCTGTCCTGGCCGAGCCAGCAGCGACCGTGTCTGGCCAGGGGAGTGGATACGAAGCCCAGGACCGGAGGAGCTTTGCGGGAAGGCGAGTGTCTGCAGCGCTCGACGGTCCCAGCCCAAGGCTCGGACAAGAGCGGGCGGCTCAGAGCTGCCGAGCGAGTGCTGCTCTTTGATAAGAGACAGCCTGCGCCCACCATGACCGTTAATAACGTACGGACACTCTTCCCCACCTGCCGCACCGAGCCTACTGGTCTCTAACACTCAGGCCCCTCCTCCACCACCACGAATGAATTCGCTCGCTGAGCCCACTCTCCTCACTCCCTACCCCGGAAATAGACTCTTCTAACCCTACCACCTCCTACCCAGCCCAGGAACAGGCACTCCCTTTCCCTTCCGGGGACGTCTTATCCTCACTGTCACTTCCAGGGCAGCCATTTTGGGAGGCTGACGCTTACTTACTGGCGGCTTTGGGTCCGAGCTGTAGCAGCTGATAATAGCAGTAGGAGGTAGCCTGTGAGTTGGTGAGCGGAAGGGGGTGGGGTGGGGTGGGGTGCTGTGCTGTGCTGTGCTGTGCTGTGCTGTGCTGTGCTGTGCTGTAGGGGAAAAAACATTCCCGCTCGATGATTGCAGCCCCCACCATGTCAGATTTCGATAACAATCCCTTCGCTGATCCGGACCTCAACAACCCCTTCAAGGTGAGATTGGGGGTGGGGAGGGGGCGGTGGCTAAAGGGCGGAGCCGGCGGAGGGACGGGATGTAAGCCTTCCTCAGTGCTGTGGCTTTATGCGTTCCGAAGGAGGAGGCTTGGTCCCAGTGGTGTCCCTTCGGGGGGCGGCGGCTTTTCCCTACTGCAAAAGGTGGGAAAGGAGTCAGCGCTGTGGGTTAGGGATGGCCTTAGGGAGGCTGTCTCGCTGGGGGGCAGGCTGTAAGATGCTGAGCGGCAGCTACAGAGGGGCCTATATTTCGTAGTGTTTGGGGCATGACGGTTATAGGGGACTTTATAGGATGAGCAGCCTTCTTAGGAGCTGTAGAAACAGGCGTAGTTATTTCACAAGTTCACGCTTCTGTGTTTTGTTCTTTCTTCTGCTACTAAAATAATACAAATCTGTGTTTCAAGTGCATTCTTATCACTAAAAAAAAATAGTGGTAAGTTACTGTATATATACGTGTATATAACATTGCAATATTTTTTCTTCTGTTTGGCTGACCCGAATAGTTCAGTGAATTTACCCCACCCTTTTTCCTCTCTCATCTCCTCTCAACCTTGTCCAGCCATTGAGGCTCAGCCTGGTTTCCAAGAACCTGGGGTCTCTGCTCAGGTTAGGGAACATTGCTGCCAATTTCTCCTTTTTAGGTCCAACCAATAACAAAGGTGAGCACGTATCCCAGTGACTGGGCAGAAACACCATTTGTAATAAATGGCTCAGTCTTTCTACTTTCCCTGAACTTTGTGGGTGCCACAGAGTATGATATTCCCACTGAATACCTAATGATTGACATAATAATTTTATTATTTTAGAAGTCAAGTGTGTGCCCTGGTCAGAATCAATGTACTGGATTATCCCATATCTAGGTATCAGGTGTACTAATAGAATTTTTACCACCATTTGTGCCGTAGCTCCTGCTACGGGATAAGCTTCTACCCATTGTGTTAAATGATCTACTATTACCAATAGATACATGTATTTTATCCTCTCTAATTTGGGCAATTCAGTGAAATCAACTTGTACTTTCTCAAAAGCCCTATAAGCTGTTTTGTTTTGTTTCTCCCTCCCATGGCTGCTTGTTGAAACACTTTCTTATTTATCTTCTGACAAGTTAAGCAATGGTTATGTAATTTGCTTTGCTATTTCAAAAAAAAACAACGCAACCAAATTGTTTCATTAAATGATCACTTAACGCCTTTGTACCCCAATGTGTTTGTGCATGCAAACGTCCCAATATTTGCTTTGCATCAGCTTTTGGCAATATCTCTCGCCTGTCTGGCAGTGTCCATTTTCCTTGTTCTAATTTAGCCCCTATTTTCTCCAGGTTTGTTTGTTTGTTTTGTTTTCCATTGCATTTCATAGTCGGTCCAAAAATTCCATAGGGGTTTCTTTTGGATCTTGTTGGAACAGATTCTCCATTCCCAATTTAACCAGATTTTAACTGTTCATTATTTCCGGGGTGCCTATAGTCTCAGCGTGGGGCCGGTCAGGGGAATGCAATTGTCAACAGTTCCCTGAGCAGTCCCATTGTCAATCTGAGCTCACTCATAAACTCAGGTTGTTTTAAGAGTTAGCTGCTTTTCTGTTTCCATGACAACTCTCTCGGACCCATCATAGTCCCTCTGCCCCAGAGGGCTCACACCGGTGATTTTGAGATCTCAGCCTCCTGTTGAGGCAGAACTATTAACATTCCTACATCCTCTTTCCCTGCTCATTCAACTTCAAACAGCTCTGTTAAATACTACATGCCACACCTTTAACACCTTCAACAACTCTTTTAACCCTTCCTTTATTTCACAGAATCACAGAATTTCTAGGTTGGAAGAGACCTCAGGATCATCAAGTCCAACCTCTAACCTAACACTAACAGTCCCCACTAAACCATATCCCTAAGCTCTACATCTAAACGTCTTTTGAAGACTTCCAGGGATGGTGATTCCACCACTTCCCCGAGCAGCCTGTTCCAATGTCTAACAACCCTTTCGGTAAAGAAGTTCTTCCTAACATCCAACCTAAAACTCCCCTGGCGCAACTTAAGCCCATTCCCCCTCGTCCTGTCACCAGGCACGTGGGAGAACAGGCCATCCCCCACCTCGCTACAGCCTCCTTTGAGGTATCTGTAGAGAGCAATAAGGTCGCCCCTGAGCCTCCTCTTATTTTTCTCCAGCCTGTACTTTTCTCATGCCAACACCAAAGGCTTAGTCAGGGGCTAACTTAATTCCACTCCTTTTCCCTCTAAGATACTGAAACAACATATCAGTATGAGACATTTCATCCTATTTTCTTTCTCTCCTCAAAAACAACATTAATTGCAAGATAGTGTTATAGTCGATTGATCCATAAAGTGGCCATTCACTTTATATAGTGGCCACCACTGATTGCAATACTTAGTGAAAGTCCTCTTGCTTTCTGTGCCCCCAGTTCTAACAATATCCTTCCAATGTGCCAATATGCACCAAAGGAGGATTTCTTTAAAATGTCTCTGTTTTGGATATTACCCGTTTCCTTGATTTCCCATTCCCTTTTATTTGTTTATTTATTACTATTCCTTACTAGTTACTGTCCTTTGTTTCAACTTCCACAAAAACCTTTTTACTGCGAGTTTTTACTATCTTTTCCTAATCTTCTTCCTAAATGTCCCAGTTCTTTGGGATTAAACTCTTCCCACATACAAACTTTACTATTTCAGATTATTAATGAGCCACGTTTCAATCATAAATCCACAGAACTTCAGGAAGACAGCTGAAGCACTCATCCTTTGTCTTCTAGACAATCATTACCACCTTTTCCACAAAAATTTACATTTCAACAGGACCGAATTTCAAGCCGAATGCCAATTTTTCTCATGCACTTTGTTAGTAAGCCCATACAAAACAAGGAATCACTCCTGTGTATCTGTCAATATGGGGGTTTAAAAAGGTATTGAGGCCTAAATAAATTCGCTCTCCCCCTTCTTACCAAATTCCCAGGGCTCAAGCCCGAACCACCAAAGAAATGACTTTCTCCATTCTACCGCTTTGATAATCAGTCAGCCCCCTCCCCCTCTCCAGTACTTGGGAAACTGACCACACACCACAGCAAATACACCAACACTTCTCAACTGTTAGTTACTTAGATAATGCTCCCGCCTTTTTCTTGTCACACTCAAAGCATTTAAGAGTAAAAAAAGGATCACAAGATACACTGCCAGGCCTATATATTAGGTACCACCAATCAAAACTTGGATAAAACAGCCCTTCTTTTCAGTCTGTCACACACTTCGTTCGTCTCGGCCCACTCCCCTCATGGAGAATATGGAACCACGGATTGGAACTCCGCACTCGCTTCGCAGTGACGCTGCGTCTCACTCACACAGCACGATCATGCAATCACACAAAGAGGCCTCTAGCACATCTCATTCATACCACAAGGATATAATTTAGAATGATAACCAACCAAACAAGTATTGTCTCTGACTGTGTTCTTCGTGGAGTGACTTATTCCACTTGGTTTCAAACCCTTACACTTACACAAATACTTTCAACACAAAATACTTGGACATTTAAGAATAACACATACAATTATTAACACTCCAGTTAGTATCCCTCCAGCAGCTGAAAACATACCGTTTGTCTGCAGCTTCAGGAGATCTTTGTCTGCTCCTGCGGTGAGCGGCTGAGAGTGAAGTCCCCTCTGAGCAAAACACTCAGGGTGCACCTAGAGGCGTCCGCTCCGCAGCCGAGCAGAGTGTCTCCTGCCTGGCTCAGCAAAATGACTCACAGAAATATGACTCCACAATCAGTAAGATTGTAAAGTAGGTATGTTTACTCAGTTCTGGGAGGCACAGGGTGGGGGGGTAGCCTCACCAATATCGTGTGCCTAATGTGGCAACTTGCTTTAGTTATAAAAGAGTAAAGAGTTACATATACATGAAGTTTCCCAATACTCTTATACAAATGCATAACCTGTCCCTTTGTGAACAGTCCTCCTTATCTCACACCCCTTGGTTATAGTCCGAACTATGAGGTTGTTTTGATCTGGTTCTCAGGGTCCAAGGGGCTCCTGTTATCTGGAGGTCTAAGCGCAGCACAGGCACAGTACATTGCAAATGTAGCACATATTCATTCTTAATCAGTCACTCTCTAATTTCTAATTCCATGTTTCAGGTGCAGCATACTTGCTCTCTTCTGGATCCACGGGTATTCTACTATTAACAGGAATGTTCAAAGCCTGACAGACCCAGTCCTCTATGTACCCAAATATCGGCCAAAATAAATGGGGTCTTAAGGGTTCTTTTGGTCATTCTATCATACAATACTGGACCATTTTTAATTTACTCTTTCATTTTCTGGGGCCCCTATTGTTCCAATTTCTAATCATTATTCCTAATGGACTTTCTGGTGGTATGTCTGGTAATTTGCTCCCTTTCTTCTGGTCCTTGGTCCTTCACCGGCCAAGTCCCTTGCGGGAGATTGGAACCGCGGTTAGAAGACCTGCACGCTCGCTTCGGAACTGAGTTCCGTCTCAGTCACACTATTACACACCTTGGCAACCGAATCCCACCCAACCGAACGGTATACGCCTTAAACACTTACAACTCCGTCGTCTTCATTTGGATCTTCGCGCGCAGAATTATGGGCAAAATGCAGTGCTGCAGCCGGCAAGGGAGCTCATAACAAAATCAAAATCTTTGCTTACCTTTATTCAGGTTCAAGATGGCATTAGTCCTGACCTGACTCAAACAGGAGCCACCAAATGGTGGGGCGCCCCTCCTATTCAGGAACCAAAGCCCTCCTGGACGAGCCCCCATTTGTAATAAATGGCTCAGTCTTCAAAATAGGATTGCAATCAAAGTTTTACAATTTATTAAACGAATAGAGGTAAGCAAACAGCACTGGGTG